AAGACTGACTCCTGCCAGCCGGGGTGCCCAGGGGCGGGGCCGGCCCGCCAGGGAGGGGGCCTTCATTGGCTGCAAGAATGAGCAAAGAGCACGGACAGAGGCCAGGCCAGGCTCTGATGGTTGTTCAACACACGCACACACTCACACACTCACACTCACACACAAAGATATACTAAAGCACAAGTTTCTATCCAACCTGCCAGCACCTTCTTTACTATGGAGACAAGGGACTTACCTGAAGGGCGTCCGCACCTCCATGGATCTCGGTGCGACACTGGCCTCATCTTGGCTGCACTGCACTGTTTCTGACTTTGCCCTGTCCCCTGACTCAAGGCCGAACTCCAGCCCAGAGGCTTGCCAGAAGGGAGCCAGGTGTGGGAAGACACATCAGACTTGTGCTGTCTGGATGGAGGTCGTGGGGATCAGAGGCAGGCCAGGTGGGACTCTGTGAGCTCCCTGACTGTCCCTTGGTCAGAGGCGGAGAAGGAAGGGGCACCTGCTACAGGCAACGGTCTCCAGAGTGTGGAGACAGGCTGAACAGTCGAGGCGCCAGTCAACTTAGACCCCCTTCCCTGTCCCTGAGATGTCATACTCCACTCCCCACTATGCCCAATTGGAAGGGACCCAGCACAGGGCTTAGGGTAGGTGCAGTGTGAGGACTGCTCCCCTCCTGCCCTACTCCAGAGAGGCCTGTTCTGGAGATGCTGGAGGTGTGAGGCGTGGTGTCTGTGCCGTTTTCCCTGTGGCATTGACAGGAGCAGAGTCCCACCTCTGCGATTCCACGCTCCCACTGAGAACAGTGAGCTCATGAGTGGAGTGGATCCCCTGTTTCTTAGGTATTTAGTCTGACAGGGAGTTCTGGAAGGAGGGGGTCAAGGAGGATAAGACACTGTCCAGTAGTCAGCTGTGGAGCACTGGGGTGATGGATGGATGTGGCTGCATCTCCTTGTTCCCTGGGAGCTGAGAAGAGCTCTTTGTCCTTGGAAATTGAATTTGATGGGGATAGGCTCTAGAACTTTCCTCTTTGGTCCCCTTTACCCACCTCCCCAGCCTCCATGGGAGAGCAGAATTCTAGGCCCTTCTAGAATGAGTCTTTGTACATGTGCATGTGGTGTTTGTGTGTCTTGTGTCCAAGTGTGTCTGTGTGTGTGTGTGTGTGTGTGTGTGTGTGTGTGTGTGTGTGTGTGTGTGTGTGTGCGCGCGCGCGCACAGCACTGTGCATATCTCTGGATGATTGTATACAGGAATATGAGACCGAGTACAAGTCCAGTCTCTGTGGGTTGATTGTCAGTGTGCATTTTTCATCTTAATGACATGGTGTGTTTGTGGGGTGCTGGCCCCATTTGCAGCCTCAGACTGCCTGCCATAGCCTAAATCTTTCATCTCCTGTGGATGACAAAGAACTCAGAGATGAACCCTTTTGAAGGCTAGCCCCTTGGCTGGAGGTGTGGCACAGGGAGGAGCCCTGTGCTTTTGGGGGGACAGCTGCAGAGAAGAGGCTGGGACACCCCCCCATCCCCAGCAGCACCAGGAGGCACACTGAGGACCAGGACTTTTGATGCCCAGCCCCCAACTCCACCTGCCCTGTGTTATCATCATCATCACCATCACCATCATGGGCTGCTGGGTTGTCAGGTCAGGCTACAGCTAGACCTTCTGGTACCCAACCAGCGTGCCTGCCTTCCTTGCCCCTTCGAGGCTTCTGTCTGAAGAGAGTTGCTCTGGTTTCCAGAACATGCTTCCGTGGCATCTGCTGGGTATTGTTCCTTAATTGTCCCATCTGTGCGGAGTCTGTTGCCCCCAACTAGACTGTGAGTCTCTCCCCCTCTGAGCCCCTCCTCCACTCTTGCTGGCATAAGGGACCCTAGGGTGGAAACCAGGTGGGATGGTTCCATTAGCTAGTGGTTCCTGGCCCGGGCTATAGAACCGAGCCTCCGGGGGTCACTGGGGGTGGGGATGTGATCTAATGGTACCTAATGGGATGCAGCCTGGCATTAGAAACATTGGATCTTAGCACAACCGGGAGGGGAAGCTCAGATGCTCTCAACTCCAGGGTCTCTGGGCCAGTGCCATGCTGGAGAAACAGCTCCATGCCTTCCTCTGTGGGGTTCCCACCCACCCTAACCCTGCTCCCCTACATCTGCCCATTGTCCTGGCTGCTTTGTTGTGGGGGTCTCCTCTCTCTTTTTCAGCTCTATAGCCCAGAGCCAGACATAGGAAAGGTGCACAGTATGGGTTGACCCCATATTCCAGGATCTTCCCTGTGGTGAGAGCAGCCATGCCTGAGGGTGTGTGGCCTGAGCTTGCAAAGCCTGTCTGCTAAGACTATCCTCAGAGCTGGGGTGTGCATGTCTGTGTGAGCCTGTGGCGTGCAGGGGCTGGGATGTCAAATATGTGCGCGTGCTGGAAGCACTTAGGTGTGTGCAGGGCTGAGAGCCTAACTATGGCTATCAGGTAGGAGCTTTTTGCCCGTGGGTGCCTGTGAATCAGCATTCCTGGATGTGTCTTGTAGGTCAGTGTTGGGATAGATGACCACCAAAGTCCCGGGAGACTAGGCTGACAGGATCTAGCGTATCTCTTCAGTGGCAGCCTCACCCTCTGTGTTGAGGGAACAGAGGAAAATTGTGGCCTTAAAACAGGGATCCCAGAGTCAGCTCACAGGGTTCTGGGGCCCTTTACCCCTGGCTCCTGCAGGTTAGTGTCTTTCAGGACAAGGTAATTCTCAGCTTCACGGTCCTGCCCCTGGGACCACAGGTAAGCTCCCGGGGATGCCCCTCTCAAAACCATGCCTGCTCCTCCCAGCACACTCCTCCATGGATCCTCCTTCCCATTCACTGTCTCTCTCTGTTCTGTGGGAGCACCTGCTCAGGCTAGCAGAGCCAGGATGAGCCTCAGACACGCCAGCCTTTCATGGCACAAACACAGAAGCTGGAGTAGAGAGGGGCAGGGCTGGCTCAAGCCTTAGAAGCCTAGTGCTACAGCCCCGAGGCGTCGTGCCATTGGCCACTGCTCCAGGGAACGGCTCACCTGACTGAATAGCTACAGGCAGCTGAGCGGAACTGACCCTTCTCTGGGTGCCATCCACGCTGCTGGGCCTGTCACACACATGACAGGTGCCATGGGGATTTTTTTGAGAAAGAAACCATCTCCCTGTCCTATTCTGGCCTCTTCTCCCAGAGCACAGTGACTCCCAGCCCGTGGACAGCACGGGTGCCGCATGGATGCTGTCATTCTGTCAACACTGGCTGCAGCCACTGCTGCTCCCCCAGGCTCCAGACAGAGGAGACTTTGTTTCCCCACTGCCCGCTGCTATCTGCACAGGAGGCTGGGCTGTGAACCAAGGCTAGCAGATGCTGGCATTCTCATCCCCCTAACATCCTCCCCAGGACCAGCAAGGTGGTGGAGAAAGTGCCGTGTCCTTGGGTTTTCCTCTGCTTGCAGCTCCATGGGGCTGGGGGTGAGGGGTGGGTTTCCAGGGAATGTCCTAGGAGTGTGATGACTGACCTTGTACTGGGGAGTTTCTACAGGCCATTGGCTGAGCTCAGATTCTGGCTTCATTCTGTTCTGTCAGTGCTGTGTGTATATACGAGCAGGTGGTGTGTGTGTGTGTGTGTGTCTGTGTCTGTGTCTGTGTCTGTCTGTGTCTGTGTTGTGTGTGTATGGGCAGAAGGACCACTCTTTTCTGGAGATCTCTTGACCCTTAGCACTGGAAGGGACCTTAAAGGCATCTAACCCAGTGTGCCCATTGTACAGGTGAGGAAACTGAGGTTCAGAGAGACGGCACCTGCCCATCCCCATCCCTCTCCCTTCCATGTGTGGCCTGCCTTCATTGCCCAGGGGCCCTGTTAGAAATGCTCTCCCTCCTAGCACCTTCCTGCCCTCCACCAAGACACCCCATTTCCCTCCATCTCAGCCCAGATGGGAAGGAGGGGGGTGCTCCAGGGCATCCCCAGGCACCACCATCCCCTGCCCCAGGGCAGCCTGCTCATCAAGTCCTTATCCCCTGGTCCATAAGGGACAGGAAAGAAGGGACTGTTCGAATCCTGGGGCCTCATAGATGGGAGGAATCCCTTCCCATATGCCCAGGCCCATATGTCTGCCCCGCCCACCCTGCCACTGAGGTAAAAGCACAACAGGAGACCCCCACTCACGGGTGACATGCCTTGGGGTCGTCTCTGGTCTCACGACCCTGCCTCACCCCTTTGCCTTGCTCTGTCTCCACCCAGCCTCTGTTCCCATCACCAATCTTTCTTCCACAAACCCCAAAATGTAACCTCTAGTTGCGGCCGCGGTTGTTTCAATCAATAAAGATGCAGTGTTCTAGAACTCAGTGCCAGCCTGCGTGTGTTGGGCTTCAGGGAGGGAGAGCAAGGTGATGGGCTGGGCAGGGGCAGTCTTTCTTTTCTTTGCCACCTGTCACTGTGACCTAGACAGAGGGTACCTGTGTCCTGTCTGCCCACAGTGAATCCTCGTTCTATTCATCTGTTACACAGATACAAACACTGCTATCATGTCCTGGAGTCTCCCACCTAGTGGGAGAGATAGACACGGAGCTAAGGCTGACACTAAGAAGTATATCACGGAAGCAGAGGGCTGTCAAAGAGAATTTGGGTTTGGGGTTTCGTGGAAGACATTCCTTTTTAAAAGAGACATTTAAGTGTGGAGCATGCTTGCAATCCCAGAACCTGGGAAGCCATAACAGGAGGATCTTGAGTTTGAGGCCAGACTGGGCTACATCAGAATGAGTTGGTGGTCAACCTGAGAAATTTAGTGAGACTTTGTCTTAAAATAAAATGAAAAAAAAAAAAAAGCATGTGTTGTGGGGTTATGGAGAGAAGGTTTGGATGCAAGACCTCACATAGCTCTTGCTGAGGACCCAGGTTCAGTTCCCAAACATGGGTGGCCAATAACCACCTGGAACTCTAGCTCCAAGGGATCTGGTTCCCTCTTCTGGAGGCTGCAGCCACCTACACTCACATGTACATATACCCACACATACATGCGATTAAAAATTTTTTTTTAATGCTGGGATATACATCTGTGGTAGAGCACTTGCCCCAAAATCATCACAGTTCAGCCTTTCTCATTGTCCAGGTGCCTCAGATTGCTCAGACTTCAGAGGTCACAGTCACTTGCTTCGGCTTCTTCCTCCATTCCCCTCAGGAGAAGTGGGCTTGCTGGGGTCATGGGGCAGGCAGTGGGGGAGGGAAACCCATGAGTTCTCGAGGAACGATGTCCACATCTGGATGGGTGTCATGATAGGGACTGTAGTGATACCAGGCAAGCAGCAGGAAGATTCTGTCTTGTTACTTGGTTGAAATAAGTGAGGTGGGTAGAGTCAACAGGCCCATGTTTCACACAGGGAAACTGAGGCTTCACAAGGCAGCAAGCTGAGGACTTTCCGCCTCTCTGGAGCTTTATCTGTGCTCATCATAGACGCAAACACACATGCACACAACAAAAGAGACAGATTCTGAAATGCCAACATGAGTTGAGTTGTGACAGAGACAGTGTCCTGGGCTATATGGGGATTCTGGGCTCAAGTTAGAACTGAGAGCTGAGGCCATCTCCTATAGAAACTCCTAGCTCCTGCTGTGAGGTCAAAATAGCCGGAAATTCCTCTTTACACTTCCTGTGGAGGCGGAGTCTGACTCCCTTCCCCTCTAGTCTGCACTGGTCTTGGAGATAGATAGATAGATAGATAGATAGATAGATAGATAGATATAGAGATAACTGAATGTGACTTTCAAAGCTGCTTCAATTTGGGCATCTTGAATGTTCTGTGCTGGAGTCACCTCACACCCGGCTCTATGGAGAGAGCCAGGAAGCAGGGAATCCTCCCCGACCACCCCAGCTGGGCCTGGCTTGCCAACCATTTCCACCACAGCCCCAGAAGATGTGGGAGTGAGCCATCTTGGACTCCAGACCAACCATTATTCCAGAGGATGCAGCGCCGGAGTCATCTGCCTGGATTTCTGACCAGCTCATCATGGGATAGATTGTGACATCCTTGAGGTAGGGGCTGGTTCATTTGTTACAAGCTCTGGAGTTAACCTGGCCCCTATGATTCGTCATCTTTGTCCCCTTCACACCCCCAACTAAGCGTATCCCACCCACATAGTTCCTCTCCTGACTCACGTCAGCTCCCTCAGAACTTCAGTCAACCAGCTACCAGGACCTCAGCTCCGTTTCTCCCACATGAGCTTCCTGTGGCAGCTGCCAGCACCACTGACTCAGCCTCTCAAGAGAAGTGGCTGCTGCCTGACTGCTTCCTAGCAGTCAGGAGCTAGGCCAGCCACACACACACACACACACACACAGTTGAGCAACCTGTTGACTAGCTAGCTGCCTGCTGTCATGTGACACCCACCTCTGGGCTAAGGGAAGGGGTCATGGGTATACAGCATGGCTAACACGAGGGCTGCCATTTTTAGAGTGCTTGTGGGTAGACCTGCTTAAAGAGGCAGGGGGCAGGTCAGTCTCCTAAGTCCTTCCTTTTCCACCCTTCCTAAAGTGGCCATCCATTCCAGGGTCACTGTCATATGGTGTGTGCACCGTGAAAGTCCGACAGTTGACTTGGACAAGGGCCAGCAAAGGTGTCAATACAGGACCCAGGTCGCTATAGTCCTGTTCACTCATGTTAACTGTTGAGTGAGAGACTTCTGGGGAGGGGCAACATACACACCTCTATTCACCTCAGGAAGGGAACCCTTGACAGACCAAGGAAGCAATTGGACTAAAATCCAATTAGGTGAAGCAATGAGGTTTTTGTTTGTTTGGGGGGGGGTTACTAACAGGAGTGTGGTGAGAGGTTGCTTACGGGAACAGGCATGACTCAAAAGCTGCTGCATTATCAGAGAGTTCATCCCAAAACTGGTGATGACTCAAGAAAGTTGTACCCCAAGAGCTCTGGGTACAGCTTACAGGCAGCTCCCTTCTGTAGTCTCCCCTTGAGATTGTGTGCTGTTTCTCTAAAGCTGGGGAAAGCCGGTGAGAATCTTGTGCGTGTCAGCTTTCCCAGACACGCACCCTCCCTTTCCTCCATAAACCTTCGTGGGCCTCCGCATCCCTCCTGGAGGGAGTGTCGCAGTTCTGAGGAACGTGCCACACAGTTGACTCAACTGTTTTACTTCTGTAGATGAGGACAACCTGGTTCAGAAAGGTGAGGTGGTCACAAAAATTCCTAAAATTCAGGAGGGAAGGGTCTGGAGAGATATCCAGAAGTTTGGCTCTCAGTACAGCATTCTTCCTCAGCCTGATACCCTGCTCTCTGTTCCCTCCTGGGGTTTGTCATATCTTGCTAACCAGCTCATCCCCAGACACCGCTGCCAGGAGAAGCAGAGTCCCCCGTGGGGCTTGGGCTCCAGCTTCTGCCTCTGATGGAATTGTCCCCTGCTTCTTCTTTTCTTTTTCTAGCATCCTGACCTTTTTGCATATGTCCTTTGTTGAAAGCTCTCCACTAACACCTTTTTTAGAAAGAGGCTGGGTAAAAATAAATGCAAGGAAAAAGCCAACACACTTCTCCTTGAAGTCACCCCAAACCCAGGCAGAGGCCTCCCTCCAGCCCACTTCTTACACCTCCAGCTCCCAGATCCATCTTTCCTGGGCACACAGCCTGACAGCACCCAGCGTGGCTTTCTGCTCTGAGGTCAACTTGGCAGCTCTCTCAGATGCAAATGCCTGAATCCATCATCTCCGGAACTCTTCAGCTGTTCAGGTCTTCTCTAAAGATGGCGGGGTAGGGTATGGTCTTTGAGCTCCTCTCAGGTGCCCTGTAGCCAGTGGGAGTTCAGGTGCATGGATTCTTTACGTAGAAGCCTCACCCAATTGTGACAGCTGCACTGAGCAGGGCTCCACTCTCAGATCCACTACTCACTGTCACCTGAGACAGGGGAATAGAGTTGAACAGAATGGGGGCGGGGCCAAGAGTGCAGTGTCCATGCAGTGAGTGTTCTCTGCAGCTGGTCAGAAGTGTCCACAATATATGAATGAGAGAGAATGGCCACTGGAAAATACATGAATGAGAGAGAAAGGCCGGTTGGAAAACAGCATGCTGATAACTACTTCATTCATGTGTGTGAAAGTGTGTACGCAGGTGCACATGTGTGTGTTTATACATGGGCGGGTGTGCGTGCGAGGCCAGAGGACAACCTCAGGTGTCATTCCTCATGCACTGTCAATATTTTTGTTGCTGTTGTTTTTTAAAGATAGGGTCTCTCTCTCTCTCTCTCTCTCTCTCTCTCTCTCTCTCTCTCTCTCGCTGGCCTGGAGGCTGCCCAGAAGGTTGGATGGCCAGAGAGCTCAAGAAGTTCTCCTGTCTCTGCCTCCCCGATGAGAGGGTCACAAATTCATGTCACCACACTAGGCTGGGGCGTGAACTTGTGTCCTTGTGGCTGCAGAACAAGTACTCAGCCGTTTCCTCAGCTACTCTCTCATTTTCCCAGTCATCGCTAGACCTTCTGCACTGTCTGGATCCTTCTACATAAACACGCATGAGTTTTAATAACCAAGAAGAAAGCCTTACTCTCTTGAGAAAACAAAAGGCAGAAGTCATCAAGGACTATAGATTAAAAGTAAAGGTCATCTTCTGTTCTTCATATTACTTCCATAGCTTAGACATCACAGAGTTTGGTAAGGGGCTTTGAACTTGAGATCTTTCCTTGCTGATTTATTCAGAGAAAAATACTCATTTGAGTGGAAGCAGGGATAGTAAGAGCAGGAGGGGCTGACCAGGGATAGGAAGTAGGGCTACTGAGACAATTAATTAGCTAATTCATTGTCTGTGGGTATACAAATGGGCACCCTATGATGTGGAGGTCAGAGGACACCTCTCGGGTGTCAGCTCTCTCCTTCCATCATGTAGGACTGGGGATTGAACTCAGGTCATCATGCTTAGTGGCAAGTACCTCTGAGCCATCTCATGAGCCCCCTGAGCCAAATAAGAGAAACCTCAAAGAGAATGCAGAAATCCCGGGGCGTTATGTCCAAAGTGGCATGCATGTGTATAAGGACACAGAGGGGACTCGAAAGTGTATGTGTGCCTGCACACCTATGTACTTCTGCAGCTACCTTTCCCTATAATTAGTTTTAAGTTAATAATTTAACTTATCCTGTTTCTCTTTAACTATTTTGCCTCTGGGTTTTTTACCTTTATTTTTATATCTTTCTTTCCTTCTGACTCCATGGCTGGGCGGCTGGGCGGCTGGGCGGCTGGCCCCTGACATCCTCCTCTCCTCCTTTTCTTGTTCTTCCCTTTTCTGTCTTGAGCCTAATTTCTACTCATATTTATCCTCTCTGCCGGGCAGCCCTGCCTATTTCTCTCCTGCCTAACTATCGACTGTTCAACTGTTTATTAGACCAATCAGGTGTTTTAGACAGGCAAAGTAACACAGCTTCACAGTGTTAACAAATGCAACATAAAAGAATGCAACATATCTTTGCGTCATTAAACAAATATTCCACAGCATAAATGAATGTAACACATCTTAAACTAATATACCACAACAGGATACCTACAAAAGGTCAAGGAGAGCTCCAGCATGCATCTCTGTTTCTATCGGTACAGCTGTGCCTGTTGTCTCCTCTCCCTGCCTGCTGTGCTGGGAAGCCCCACTACCCAGGCTTAGGTGGAATCCAATTGACCTCCTCCTTCTTCCCACATTCACTGGGAGGAGGGCAAGTAACAGGAGCTGTGAGACCAGGACCTAGAGCTTCAGATGACTTGCCTGGTGCCGAGGGTGGGGTGCAATCAGGGCGGGGAGGGTGGGGGTGTGTGTGGGCCAGAGCAGCCACCAGAGTGGTGCACTGCACAAAGTAGGCTTGAGTTTTGGGCTCCAGGCCCAGAGGTGGGCATCTGACTCATGCCAGCAGCATTGGGTTAAAGAAGAGCAGCAGTCAGAGGTCTGGCCGGGGGCCTGAGGCAGTGGGCCTTGGTGGAAATGGATTGCAGGGATTCTAGCTGTGGGAAGGCTGCCCTCATGAAGTCCCAGTGGCAGCAGACCTTCTGTCCTGGGTGTGGGCGAGTCCTGGATACCCAAGGTCATTGACCTTGCCTTGGACTCTTGTTTCTGCAGAAGGAAATAGGATGGGACTGGGTAGGGTCTGTTCTGGGACCCAGTGATCTATATGCCAAGCTCACTGCTGTGCCAGGTGGCCTCCAAATTGTTGGTCAGCTACACGCCCTCCAACCTCCTGCATCCTGAAGATGCTGGGGTCTAGGGTCTAGGCTCTGAGAGAATGGTCAGGAGCTCTGCTCTGCCCCCGCATGTGCCAGCAGGCTCTACGGAACCCCAGATTTTGGCTTCTGACTCACTCTGTGGAGACCATGATTCTTCCTCGAGATCAATTTCTGAGCCAATTTTGGAAACACAGCAGGACAGATAGTAAGGACCAAAAGACACTTGCTGATGGGTAAGTGATTCAGGGGAGTAGTTACGTCCTCAAAATACTGGGGACTCATTATAGCTGAGGGAAGGTTCCAAATCCAGTATGGGAGATTATAGAGGTGTGTCTTCCTCCCACAGGGTGTGCTGAGATCAAACTGTCTGTCTCCCTTAGACTGCAGCTCCCTGAGGACTGGCCATGTCCCCCTGGAACCCTCTAAGGACTGGCCATGTTACACGCAGACTGGGGACTCCTGAGGACAATCCTCATCCCCCTCAGACTGGGGCTTCTGCATGAAACATCTTCTGTATGCATTTCAGATGCAGAACGTTCTCTTGGGCTCCCCAGTGCATGTTCATACCCCCTCCCACCCCCATCTCCAGAGCACTGGCTGTGGCAAGGGCTGCAGATGGCATCCTGTAATGCTCGTGGGTGTTTAGGCGCCCTGGGAGTAAAGTTTAGCCTCATTACAGCTTGTTTGAGAGAAGAGCCAATTAGAGAGGCAATTTTCCTTGAGCAGTCTGAAGAATGTGTTGATATGCTAGCCGGTCGGATGGGAAGCTGGTAACCTTTTTCGCCTCTGCAGGCCTAATGATGGCCCTGACTGCCCCTCACACCTCTGCTGGTCTCTTAGCCACTGGATTTGGGCCAATGGCAGGAGAGGAGCCTTGAGCCTCAGTCCCCCTGAGACCTCTGGTCTCCAGAGGTTACCCTGACCCATCTCTCTCCATTAACTTCACACCAGCTTCTTCCATCCTGGTGTGTTCCTTGCTGTGGGGAAACTTCATTGCTAATTACCTTCTTTGGGGCTAAATGTCTTCTATTGAATTCTTTGTGTCGAAGGAAAGTGGGACGTGCCCTTGGGAGGAAGGCGGAGCCCCTC